GAGGTCCTCAAGAGGTAATTTGAGATGACAGTAGTATCAAGAACTTCAAATACCATTACCACCAACATTACAGCAGGGTCAAACCCTCCAAACATTAAATATTATTTTACATTCTCGAAGGAAATTCAGAGGTCTAATCAAAGTGTAATGCTAAACAAAACGCCTTAAAAAATACAAACATATGTGATTTATTGAAGCAGTTACAACCCGAAAGGACATTAGTAAGGCCCAATAATATTTTTAGTTCAGCAAGTCAGCATCAATTTTTCGGGGAATCCGTGTAATTGAGGGCTTTGTTCATGAAGAAGTTGAAGAACACGACCATCTTCGTTGGAATGAAGATAAATAGGGAGATGAAGAATGAGATTGATAGGGCGAACATTACACCGATTGCAATACTAACTGTTAAGGAATTTAGTAAAATATGCAACGATTAACAATGGCATTACTCTAAAATTTCTTGCTATAAAAAAATTAATTGACTATAAATGGGTAAGTTATGACACTAATCAAATAGATTGAAGGATATGCAGTCGATATATTTTTTTTGCTGCATAATTAAAGTGAATCCTCCTAATGTGAAGGGAATTAATTGTCGTTAATAGAAAACTAAATATTGCTTAGTTTCTTTTTCCTAGCTACTAAAAGGTTACAGCAAATCTGCCTCTCCCAGGGTTCGCATGCAAAAAGGCCGGTGGTATAAAGCATGCTTTTCCAATATTGGTAGATAACACGACCGATGCCCTTAGAAGGACCAGGGGGAAGAGGTTCTAAAAAGAACCAATAGTTGTTAAAATACATAATGTGTTTATCCGGCATTTCCAAACACCGAAAAACACTTTTTGTCATAAAAAATGAAATTCCATTTCATGCTACTTACCCTTACACGTGAATATTAGTCAGTTATTAGAATTTACAAATTATCATTCATGTAAATTAATGACCTTAATTAAATTGATACATTAAACTGTAGTAAATTGAATATGAAAGTTTTATAAATTCATTTAAAAAATAATAGGATTTAGTAAAGTATAATCGACTAAATCATATATTAACCACGAATGAATGCGATTTATGGGGGGGGGGGGGAAAAACTTCGGGCTGCAATGCGAACACTTGTCGTGACGATAAAGCCTTAGAAAATTGCTTTCATTATGTTTACCAGTTTCAATCGGTGCAATTATTACATTTAATCATTTGATCTTCATATGCGTTAGTGGTCCGTCAATGACAAATGTTAGACAAACAAATCAAGTTTTACAATTCTCTGTTTGCAGAATTAGAAGCCAATACTCGCCTTTCGACGCTTTAATCTTCACTATAATAACAGTCTAAGGCCTAAAAGGATTACGAAGGTGTCCATTTTATTTGTAAATTGAGATGGGCAAAAACTGATTTCTTTGGCAATTTTGCAGCACACTTTCACATCCCAAATGAGTAGTTCACATTCCCTAAGTAACACATTGACTAATAATATTATAAGTAGAAATAAAATTCGCAATGTGGGTACCACACCAGAAACCACTGCCTTTGAAGGATAATTTGATTTGGTTGGAATGATTGACAAAAGAAGGACTGAGAAGTATTCTTTTCAAAATGAAAATCTACAAAGCACCTTTCATTGACCCAAGACAAAATTTTGACAATGAATTTATTAAATAGCCTTTAGTAATGCCTTAATAATAAAAATGCATTGAAAATGTGATATAAACTTAGAATAAATGAGATAATATAGGGACTTATCTGCTTGAGGAAAGCCCTATTCGAGTTACGTTCGCTCACTTGTAATAATGGCTGGATCAATCAAACAGTGACAATAAAAAGGAAATCATATGCGTCCCTTAGCGTTGTGGAAGCCACATCCGTGGTCTCTGCTTGTATATGTATTGCACCTAGAGACAACCTTATTATTATTAATATTATTATTCGCAGAAGCGACTCTGTATTGTAGGTGTGAAAGATCTTTAATTTTCAGCCTATTTTATAATATACTGCCGATAGTCAGATAATTTAGTGTGTCTAATTTTCTAACGGATGTGTTACTGCTCGCAAATCTTTTACACTAAAAGATCTAACGAAAGCGTAATTAAACCTGTTTCAGCTCTCATTACCGGGGTTTTCCGAAAGTTCGTCCATCTGGATCAGAGCCCTATCTTGGAAGGATGAGAAGCATTGCAAAGCCCCTCTGAGGAGAAACTCCATTGACCAGTGTTAGCCAGAACGATTGACCATTATACGCACTGCGAGTTCACGGTAAATGGTACCGAAATACTGAGTTTGGGAATGACTTATGAAATTTAGATGTTATGCCAGTTACTAATATTCGTAATAATTAGTCATGTTAAAAGTTAACATTGTCTTAAGCCGAATTTTAACAGGAATTAAAGTTCTATTTATGTGCTCTCAGCCGCATTTAACCGCAGTGTTACCACCAATTGGGTACCGATTGGGATCTTATTTCTGAATTCTAATTTGAATGCTTCTTCATTTACTAACTTGAGCAAAATAGTCTTCATGAATCAAGGGAAAAATTCTGCCTTTACAGAGCCTTGAATTCAGGTATTTTTTGTATCTTGTTGCCATTACTTTCAATAAGAGTCACCTTTCTAATGGTTCTGTCGGGATTGATAACTACCTCTTCCAAATTTAATGAAAGTATGAGATGTGCGTTGGTGTAGTGTGTTGCCTAGTCATTAACTTCCCTTAGGATAAACTCATGACAAAACGATTATTACTGAAATGTGAACACAGTCACCGCACTTCGAGAATTTAAGTGATGAACATATTTTTATCTATTTCCAGCGATTTTCATCGTATGGGGTAGGCCGGTAAACATTTTCCAAAATTGTAAAGTCTAAAATTGCAGTGGATGAAGATAAAGATATTAATAACGGAAATCTTGTGGGGTGGGGTGGGGTGGGGTGGGGGGAGGGGGGGCAATAAATCCTAAAAATTATATTGATAGAAATAAAAAAAATGAGTTCAATGTCGAGTATTCAAAGAGTTGAAAACATGGCAAGTGGAAGTGAGGACATAAGTATGGATAAAGTGTCAGAGAGTTCTAACTTCCTGGATCATCCTTTTATTGGAAATTCGCCAAAGCATAGGTTTCTATTTATTATTTTGTTCTGTAGATAAGGGTTGCCTTCCTCGACCTTAAGACAAAATTTATTCAAAATGTGGTCGACAAAACAAACAATTTTACTCCCCTTAATTGTTAGATTGGTCGAAAAGTAGAGCGAGTCAGATGAAGACAATGTGAAGATAGGATAAAGGTGTCGATGGTTTAAAACATAGGAAGCTGACAAAACGTGGATTCAGGTGATTATTAATTAGAATTTTGATACGACTACGGACATATGGTCGTAATAATCAGACCAATGCTAGCCACGTGAAATAGTAATAATGATAATAAGTGATTGAATTTACACAATGCACACTTAGGAGATCGTCCATTATTTTTATAGGAATTAATGCTTCTAGAGAAATCATTCAAAGCCGAAAATGTACTTACAATTTAAAATGTGCAAACGGCAAATTAAGCATTAGAAAAATGAGTTTAGGCGTCAGTAAATTATTAAAAACTTTTAAATACCATAAGTTAAGTACGATAAAAGGGAAATGAAATTTTTAATCTAATTAACCATTTTCATGAGGAGTTGGGGGTGGGGGTGTGTGAGGCGGAGGAGGGTAATAGGCCGTGAATAAATATCAACGTGTTAACTTAAAATTTAATGTCAATTCTGGCAATTACTCTAGCCCAAATGATATACAAAAAAAGATCATTAAGAAGCAAATTAGACTTTTTATTACTTCAGTGGAAAAACTTAATTAGAATAAATTAGGAAAACAATCTTCCATTTGATTTGCCGGCTTTGGTAAGCCAGGCTAAGTATTTTGTAATAAAAAGTCATAATCAAGTGCTACTTAAGAATTATTGGCAACCATTCTTTCAAACAAATGCAATGTCCTTCAAACACATCAATATTCCTTCACTCGATATCAATATCCCGAAACTAATAAAAGATAATCTTAATGAAACCTTCAAAATCTAGTCTTCAAATAATGCATATTAAAATTTTGAAGAACGAGAGGATTGAGCATTGTAGGAGAGATCATGCTACCTTAGAGTTACCGAATAACGACTTTCAATACCCTTCTCCGTGATACCTCTAATCCTAAGCTGTATAATTACGTTTTCGTCATTCAAAATGCTACCACCATCTCATTAACATTAGGGAAATTTCAAATCCATCCCAGAGAGATGTCGAGACAAGCGTAGTCAAATGTGAGGGTGGACCGTTAATAAACACTGTACATATCAAACAATGATTAACTAATTCCAACACAATTTTATCTGAGTAGAGAATAAAAGTAAACGAAAAGTTACATAAGCACAATTCCTCTTCACCAAATTCAGTAACATTCATGCTTAGTTCATGAACGAACAGATAATTAAATTTAATAAATAAATAAAATAGGCAATAGAGCAATAAAATGAATAAATTTTACCTTGTGGTACTTTCATTTTCTTCGAATATTTGGTGAAGAGCGTGCCCAAATGAAAAATGAGTCCCCACCGTCAGATGAGTTGTTATTTATACGGTGAATACACATGGCCAATTATCAGCGAACCTTCATGTGATTATTATTTGGTTGTGACGTGGTTACACTTTTCAAAATATGTGACCACACAATTTCAAAAAAATAGTCCAAATTCTTCCAGAATTGTGGGATAGGGGGGGGGGGGGTATAAAATACTTTTAAACGCATTTATGACATTCGTTAGGGTATTTATTTAAATCAAATGGCAGGCTTTATGATAGCTATCAGGGGTGTGTAATAGACTTACCTCCACGTGATGCACCCTGAACAACGCATACTCATACGGCAAAAAAGTCTATAACTTGGCAATTGCCTTCAGACTATTATGATTAGCCTGAAACAAAACTATCAGAGAATCACAACTTCTACAGATCCTTCAGTGGAATGCTGTGAAGATGTCACAAGACACGAGGTTCCAAATCAAGAAAATTCTGCTTACTTATGATATAGACAAATTCACAATCACGGAAGAAAACCTAACGGATGACAAACTCCAATACTGCCAATTCCCAGGTTACACATTAAATTACCAACCTAAATACCGGCAAGTTGCAAGTGGAATTTTGACTGGAAAGTAATCAAGATTATGGGCTCGACGCAAGATATATACGGAATAAACAGATTAAATGTTTGGAAATATCAAAACCACTTCAAGATATACTCGGTCTCCGATCCACCCCAGAGTAGACCCAACTTCGATCTTCTGAACATTTCACGCAAAACTGTACACGAATATTATGATCAGATGTGCAAAGAAAACTATTCCCAGAGGCAAGACTAAACACTATCAAGTGTTTTGGTCTGAACACCCGAGTATTATGATCAGATGTGCAAAGAAAACTATTCCCCGAGGCTCATGATTAGATGTGCAAAGAAAACTATTCCCCGAGGCAAGATTACACACTATCGAGTGTTTTGGTCTAAACACCTTGAGGTAGCAAATATTATGATTAGATGTGCAAAGAAAACTATTCCCAGAGGCAAGACTAAACCAATATCTAGATAGTCTAAACACCTTGAGGAACTGAAAAGAAAGCGGGACGTTCTAGACACCTTGAGGAACTGAAAAGAAATCGGGACGCCCTTCTGAACACCTTGAGGAACTGAAAAGAAAGCGCGACGCCCTTCGCAACACTGCTGATCAGACTGGAAGAACGGGCGCCCTTCGTAACATTGCTGAACAGACTGGAAGGAAGGAAGACGTACAAGCCTGGAGAGAGCAGTCAGCCAACGCACATCTAAATTCCTGAGTAACCTCCAAAACAACATGGAAAGACCCAAGAAAGAGCCAATACGCTTAAACGACAAACTGCTTACCACCGACTCCAAAATATCTAACTACTTTGCGAGGTTTTTTTCCAACAAGTAAAAGAAAAACTCTTTTGTAAGAAACTCTTCAAGAGATAAAAAGAAACAGGACAGACAGTTTGGTGAAATTAAGGAAGACACAACGATACGAAATAGTGTACTTACTGAACCATTCAGCCTTCGCGAACTTAATGCTGCGATTAAACAGCTAAAGTGCTTTCGGAATTTCTAATAAGAATGGTGCCAAAAGCCAAGGAAATCATGTTAACACTATTCAGCAAAATTTGGGAGACCAGTCTCATACCTACCTAACGGAAAATTACCTCAGTAATACCAATACTAAAAAAGGGCAAAGACCCTAGCAACTTTCACAACTATAGGCCTATTCCTCTCAGAGGCATGTTGGCTTAACTTATGGAAAGAATGACTAAAATGTGACTGACCTGGTTCCTTGAAGCCAAGAACATTCTTAGAAACGAACAAGCAGGTTTTCAGCCACAAAGATCCACAAACCGACAAGTAGCCACTCTCTCCCAACGTATCAAAGATGCCCTTGGAGACCAAGCAACCCACCATTCTTGCACTCTCAAGTAGCCACTCTCTCCCAACGTATCAAAGATGCCCTTGATGAAAGAAATACTCTTACGGCTGTATTTATTCATTTCAAATCAGCATACAACCTATTATGGAAAGAGAACCTAATTCTAAAATTGGCGAAGATTGGTATTAAACATAGCATGCTAAACTAGATAAAAGCATTCATTGGACAAAGATCAGTAAAGTCAGATACGAAAACGCTCTGTCCAAAACTAATCCTTTACAATCAGGCCTACCACAGGGAGCTGTCAATAACTACTCTCTTTTCAACGTCTTCAACAATGATATAGCCGAACTGGTAGAGACAGTCACGGACATCAAATGCTTACTTTATGAAGATGATTTTATTCTATTGCATTCGCCCCCCAAAAAAACGCTCAAGAGAAGACGGGAAATGCCCTGAAATAAGCCCTTAAACTTTTAGCAAACTGGTGCGACAACGGTGAAAGCGTTTTTAACACCTCAAAAACCTAATTTCAAAGATTTCATTGGCCCACCACAGCATAAACCCGCATTTAAGGCACAAGGTTACTTCCCTAGAAAAAAAACTAATGAGTTCGATTATCTCGGCATGAAGCTTGACACAAAGCTAACATGAAAAAGTCGCATTGCAAAAGTAGCAGAACGGGTCTCTAATAGACTAAAAGTACTGAGCGAACCGCTAGTAGCAAATGGAGCTGTGCACGTTCAACCCTAAACACCACATACACGATGTTTGTTCAACCAATAATGCTGCAGTGCTGTGAGCCACTCATAAAAGCCTCTGAGGTGATTCTCAAACCACTCGAGAAGACGCTCAACCAGGCATTACGACTAATTATAGGAGGGATAAAATTAACACCCATTGATGCAATGATCCTGGTTATAGGGAACACCCAAAACATTTCCACATTAAAGAGATGGCCTTGTTCCTATATGAGAGGCTACTGCGTATTCCGGTGGGCAAATTCTTCATCACCTACGAAAATAGGCCAAGACACCTAAAAATGCAATCTGGTCTAATATAGAAGGCCATAGAATTGAAGAAAGCATTACAAATTGATGAAAAACCAAAGGTCTCAGTCTACCCATGAACCCATTAGCAGACATTGATGTAGCGTGTTGCACCCAACTGCTTGACCACTTCAGGAAAGCAAACACCCCTCCAGAACCAATGCGCTTACTGGCCCTTGGGACAATCAATGCCATCTATCCTGCAGATCAATGGCTCCAAGT